GAATTCCTCCGGAAGGAAGTCACTTATCTAGGGCACATAATTGGTCAAAATGGCGTTCAACCTAACCCAGATAAAGTCAGAGCCGTCACAGAATTTCCCACACCTAAATCACCTAAGGACAGTGCCGGATTAAGCCAGCGCGGGGCCTGTAGCAAATTCTGTCAAGGGGCCCTTGGTTTGCTATCGGTTCTCATTTGGGCATTGACTAGTGCCTTTCTTTTTTCTGGCGGCAGTTGATCATTTATGGAAAATGTTGTCTAGAATGACATTACAAACGAAATTGTCTATGGGCTCATGTATGGAAATGTCTCTGGACTGAGTTATGAGCGTTGAAAGGAGATGAAGTCAAATATTTTACTTTGGTTTTTTTATAAAAATTATATATTTTTGTCACAATTCCCAACTTTAAATTGCGCGCAACTGTATGTCGGGCACAAGAACACCATATGACACCACAATGTATTCATATTGCCAGGCAAAAAAAAAAAAATAATAATTAACTAATTTTTGTTACCTATTTTCTCTCAGTCGATAACTTGTGGGATGCTTCTAGGAGTTGTGTCATGAAGCTTCATGAGCCTCAGCTATGTTACCAGTGGTGGGTTGAGTTGTGGTAGCCGTGCAACATCTAATAAAGTATATTTTGTTTTGCCATTGACTCCTGGTGGGAGACTCATCTACTTTATAGTTCGCATAATCTTCTGAAGAAAGGAAACCGTCGACTTTGTAAAGTTATATACCTACGTCAGATGAGCGTATAATTTTTTTCATATAATGTGATCAGTCGAAATATAATCCATCACTTTGTGACTGAATGACGATATCTTTGTACAGAATCTTATGCTAACTGTAGATTAGAGTATTAACTGTAGTTAAATTAGTGACTAATCGCGAGTAAGTCGGGAGAAGTAGACAGAAAAAATATTTTTTCGTGTTTTGACGATTGCCACTACTCAATCCGCTACCGACGCCGCAGCTGACAAACATAGCATTTCGTGATAGGGCTCAGTAAAGTATTTAGCGGGTTTTCGACTGAGAGGATATTGAAACTTACGTGAAAACCTGTCATAGGCCATAAACCGTATACAGAGGTATAAAGTGAACACGCTAGCCAAGCAAGCGAAATGTTTTTTTTTTACTTGAGCGGTGGCCAGTTAATGTTTGACTCTGTTATGATTCCGTGGCCTTATAAAAAAAGATAAAGAAGTCCACTATAAGCTTTACTATATTCCTTGAAATCGTTTATAAACATGTATTACAAAATATTTCTGACAAGTAAATAAAGAAATATGCGTTGTGTACGGTCAATATCAACAAAATAACAGGAATAATATAGCACTATTTTCACATCTTTGAAATGATTTAACTCAGTTTGGACTGTGTTTTTGATATAAGACCCCATATATTTTTTTGTTTGTAATGTTAGTCTGCATCAGTTTTTCCACATCCAATAAACTGCCGCGAAAAAATAAAAAGGCACCACGCTCCATACAAATTTGGTCATTGTCATTTAGGGTATTACATAAAACAAAACTGTTACAAATAAACTTTTCTAGATTTGTTATGGGCAAATTTAGCGATTACACTTTCAATATTGACTTTTTTAAGCAAGTCATGCTCTAAATTAAGTAAAATCGCGGGTTACTCACGTGAATATACTGAGAAAAGCTCTACTAGTTTCGAACCACAGAGGGGTTCTTCCTCATGAGCAGCGTGCGCGGTCGCGGCGACGTCGCGCAGCTCACTGTATATTCACGTGAGTAACCCTCGAATTTACTTAATTTAGTATGTCTCACGATAGTTATTATAAAAACAAGTCATGCTCTATATTCAACATTGTGCTTGGCCCATAGTCTTCCTTAATTCATTTTTAATTCGTTTAAATCGGGCTCGGTTCGCCCGCCAATGGCACCAACCAAGCGCACAAATACTAACTGTCCTTTTCTTACACATACAAAATACCGGCTATTTGTCTTTTTTCGTTTATTTCGTTAAGAAAAAAATCAAATTACTTGTAGGTTGATAGTAGTTTTGTAAACAAACATTTTCTTCATAAGTCTTGCTGTTGAAGTGGTGTAAAATTACGAAATACCTATTTGAGCGCGGGGCCCTCCAATCCGCGGGGCCCGTAGCATTTGCTACTCTTGCTACGTGGCTAATCCGGCACTGCCTAAGGATATAAAATCGTTCTTAGGTCTTGTGTCATACTATAGACGGTTTATACAGGACTTTTCTAAACTAGCTAAACCTCTAACTAACTTACTCAAAAAAGATGTGCCCTTCATATGGGAAAATACCCAACAGTTATCATTCGAAAGTTTAAAGGATAAACTTGTTTCCGCCCCCGTATTAGCCTATCCTGATTTCTCTCAACCCTTCATCCTTACCTGTGATGCTTCAAATTACGCGATTTCCGCTATTTTATCCCAAGGTCAAATAAGTCAAGACCGTCCCATAGCATTTGCATCCCGCACTATGAATAAAGCAGAATGCAACTATAGTGTCACGGAGAAAGAATGTCTTGCCATATTGTTCGGCACCAAAGTATTTCGCCCTTACCTATATGGCAACCGATTCTCCATTGTTACTGACCATAAGCCCCTACAATGGCTCTTTAATTGTAAAGATCCTGGTTCAAGATTAATCCGTTGGCGACTTAAACTAGAAGAGTTTGAATACGATATAAAATATAAAAAGGGTAAAATAAATTCCAATGCCGACGCCCTTTCCCGATTTCCGGTAAATCCAGTCCAACCGGAATCTACCTCTAACTCTGAATCTAAAATCGAAAACGAACCCTCTCAGGCAGTAGATAAAGACCTCATGGATCTACTAATATCTCCACCCTCGTTCGACCCTGAAACGTTAAACTCACCTACGTCAGATCCTCTTGCTCTGAATGATAATGATTTACTCCCATTCCCTGAAATAAAACCTATCCCTGAATCATCTGAAGTCCTGAAAGAAAACACTAGCAACCACTTACCCTCTACCACACGATGCTCGCCGACTTCAGACTCTCCAGCTGCAATACCACTGGCTCAGCAACCAGATGACAACACTGAAATCATTAATGACTTACCTGATCTATCTGACGATAATTATCCTGCATTCCTGAGGGCACTAGCACGAAAGGATAATACGAGTTTTAATACCATAATCCAAGAACACAATGAAGATATATCTAAATCCAAATATAAAATAATTATCTTACCTACTTCCATTGACCTTGATGAGTCAAATCCATATGTCCAAAATATCATGGACAATATCCCCAACAGTTCAGAAATTATCTCCAAAGAAAGATCCTTGAATTCATTCATTTCATTTGAAAATAAAGATAAACTATACTATCTCCTTTTTTTTAAAGTACATCATTTTGATAAATCTGAGTATCCAGACATCTATGAGAGCCTTAGAACAATCAGGAACGAGTTAGTTATTAAACTCGACCTAGACTCGAAACCTGACATCTCCATAACAGATTTTAAAAACCCATTTGATAGTCATCAATATGTTAAAATATATAATATGCTTCTCTATTTATTCAATAACAGTAACATAAATGTACACGTATACAAAGGATCGATCATATACCCATCGTCGTCTGAAATCCCCAAGATACTTAGGGAGAATCACGACATTCCTATTGCTGGACACTTAGGTAGTAATAGAATGCTTAAAAGAATTCAAGAAAACTTCTATTGGAAAAATATGCGGACTGACATTGAAAATTTCGTCAAGAAATGTGTACAATGCCAGACTAACAAAGCCCTTAGACAAATAAATCGGGCCCCCATGCAAATAACAAGCACATCCACTCAACCCTTTCAGCGAATATCCTTAGATATAGTCGGGCCACTACCTGAAGCAGGTCCCGCCAAATTGAGGTACATACTAACCATCCAAGATGATCTAACAAAATTCTCTTCTGCTTACCCGATTCGAACCACTACTGCAGAAGAAACTAGTGAATGTCTTCTTCACTATATATCTATCTTTGGCATTCCAAAAATGATCCTCACAGATCAGGGAACTAACTTCACATCGGACCTATTCCGCAAAACTTGTGAATTCCTTAAAATAAAGAACCTTTGGTCGTCCCCGTACCATCCGCAGACGCAAGGCGCCCTTGAGCGCAGTCACTCGACTCTCAAAGAATACCTTAGATCTTTCGTAAATGAAGAACAGTCCAACTGGCCCAGATACGTGTACACAGCCATGCTTACCTATAACACATCCGTTCATTCAACAACCAATTTCACCCCATTCGAACTAACTTTCGGAAGCAAACCTCTGATCCCAAATTCTATCTATGACGAAGCCCCAGGAGCAACTTACCCTGACTATGTCCGCATGCTTCAGAATAGATTAAAGTATTGTAGAGACAAAGCCTTGGACTCCATAAGGAGATCCAAAGAATCTTCCAAAAATTACTATGACACTCGCACTCGCCCTGCGAAATACAAAGTCGGTGATTACGTGTACCTGAAGAATCACCTGCGAATGCGCAAGGCACTTTCACCACAGTGGAAAGGGCCTTACAAGGTAATTAGAATCAACGGAAACAACACACTTACCTTACTCATCAACCGACGTCACGTCATACATCATTATGACCAAGTGAAGCTGGCAGAAGCAGCTCCGTAATTTAGGAAATAAACACATAATCTTAAAATTACTCTAGACTTACCTTAGGTTATCTTTACAGTTCAGCTCAGAGTCAACCTAACCAGAGTTTCATCGAGCCAATCAACTCTAGTTCCGGACTCTACTTCGATTATTTAGGAAAGCTACGAATAAACAATATTCAACTTAGTATAGTAATACCTGTAGACATATCTCATTTCAAACCACATATTGATAATATCAAATCAGCGCTTTTAGTTACTGGAAATTTATGTAAACAAACCAGAATTATAGAGATTATCTCCATTTGTTATAATAATTTAAAACCATTGTCGGCCCGTTTCCAAGATATGAGTAAGGAATTAACATCAATCTCACATTTAATTGATAACAGGACAAAACGTTCCGCCTGGATTAGTGGTGCAGGAACAATCTTAAAGAAAATATTCGGCACCCTAGATGAAAACGATGGCCTACAATATGACGAAACTATCAAAACATTACAACTCAATGAAAAGAAATTAGCTTCATTATTAAAAGAGAATATCTTAATAACCACTTCTGTTTTAACTCAGTATAACGTTACATTAAGTAAAATAATAGAGAACGAGGCAAACTCAAAAGAAGCCATTGATAGACTTTCAGTGAGTGTTAGAAACATTACTGAAACCACAAATGGTTTACAAATACAAACAAATGTCAATGAAGTTATCAATGCGCTCGAGACATCGATACTTACTCTATCTTTTCAACTAGAAGATATCACTAACGCTATCCTATTTAGCACCCAAAATATTTTACACCCTGCAATAGTAACCCCTACACAACTCCACAAGGAACTAGTAGATAACTATAGACATTTACCCAGTGACCTTGAGTTGCCTGTATCTTTAGATATTAAGTCCATACATGTTATCTTAAGTATTTCTAAGTTAGTTTGTTTCTATACTAGTAATAAGGTAGTATTTATATTGCAAGTGCCAATGGTAAAAACTCAAGAATATCTGCTATTTCATAATATTGCATTACCAACACCACACAATACTTCAAACCCAAACACTTTCAGTTTAATTCTCCCTGATAACAAATACATAGCAATGACCAAAGACAAATCCTACTATTGTGTTTTCAATAGTTTGGAAATTTGTAAAATAGTGACTTCTGGAAATTATATCTGTGATATTGAAAATGTGTATTCTACTGATGCAAAACCTACATGTGAAAGTGAACTCCTTACCAAGGTAATTAGCGTGAAACCTGCTCAATGTCATACGAAGACCCTCATTGGAAAAGTAAATATCTGGAAATCCCTGATCAATAATAAATGGATCTTTGTACAGTCAAAACCTAACAAAATATCGATAGACTGTTTAAATAACAAATTAAAAGAAACCACCATTTCAGGTACAGGGATATTAAGTATCCCCAAAAATTGCATTGTCCACTGTAAAGCTACCACACTTATACCTAAACAAAACAATTTTAATATAACTTCACCAATCAGACATTTTCCAGATTTTAACTTAATTGAAGACTCTTGTTGTTCCATAAAAACAGTATATGAAAATGCCAGTAATATACTCCCTGTAAAACTAAATAACATAGACCTAGATGATTTACATACCAATTATAATGATAAGATAAAGTCTATTTTAAATGACCTTGAATTTGTAACAAATCCAACAACCCCTCATATTGTAACATATGGTAAACACTATTCTATTGTAACACTGGCAATTGTAATCTTTATACTTATATTTCTTAATTACCTAGTTTATAAGAAAATTTGTCAACGATATAACCGTTCCCGTAGGAATAGAGCAAATATTTGTATAACATCATCTCAGCCTGAACCTTCAATAGAAATGACAGATAGACAAACAGGTTTCGAAGATAGTACACCTAATACAAGTAATATTGCTCCACTTAGGGTAATAATATAACAGAGACTTTGAACCAACCCCAAAGCCTCTTCTTAAAGGGGGAGGTGTTATATCCCTGATATGTAAGGGTTTATGCTGGGATGACATAAAACTACATCGTCATCATTATTATATCTTAGCGTGTAAGGTGGCATGCCAGACCCCTCAGTCTGGACAAGATCTCCGAACGGTACGGTTGTATACTCAGTCCTTTAACTAATTAAAATAGTTCTAATATAAAATTAGTTTTTTTTAAAAAGAAATCCTAAAGGACTCTCGTAACAGTACGTAGATCGGTTGAAGATCAAATTTAAATATCAGATAAACTTTATTGCTACAGGTACTGTCTGAAATGTTTCAGCTATGTTGAACTTGCAATTGTAAAAAGTCAAGCCCACAACCACTGAGATGTAATAAATAAAATAATTTATTTGAATTCCAACTTACCTACCGTTCAAAAATATGCAGGTTACTTCCACCTGTTACTTGACCAGAGATGCACTTTCCGTTCTTTTGTTAACAAGTAATTTCATTTTGTTAAATCCGGGATTAACTTAATAAACTTAAAATTATGTTTTACGAATCATTTATCCAGATCGCTCACATTTGGGCCTGATGACGTTTGTGACTTCTTTCAACATCAGCCTCGCATTCCATCTGTCAGGTGTTTGAATTCTGGCCATTTCTATCGACAATTTTACCAGACAGGATTTGGACAGGATATACTGTTTGGGGTTTGGACTTAAAGTTTTAAATTAAAGTCTATTGTCTAGAAATTTAAAAATTCTCAGTCGTAGCACGGAGTTTGGAAATGTGCCCGGTATATGACAATATGCTCACCCCCTATTACATGGGACTCATAACATAAATAGTAAAAAGAGGGTGTTACATTATACAGTGGCATAATGTGCACCTCTGCCTACCCCTTCGGGGATAAAAGGCGTGATGTTATGTCTAGGAATTGGAAATATGCACCACGTCTTTGTATAATTATTACTCTTATTCTATTAATATGTTGTGTAAATCTCTTATATTTGGTGCAAATAAAATTAACAAATAAAAAAATCATAATTCCATTGAGTCTCTAGTGCATAAGAGCCATTGAATCTTCAAAAAATCTTTATTACCGTGTTGAGAAATAAAGACTAAGTTGGGAGAAGTCATTTAATGATTTTCCCTCTCAAAAAAGGGTTTATAGGAATCTAACGAAGTGCCTCGGGTTCGAAGCCTGGCATTTGACAAGTATCAAAGGGCACATACTTAATTTACAATAATAGTATTAATTGAATTTGTATTTTTTTCTTTAAAATCTCTGATTCTGATGCAGCTAAATAGTATTTATTAATCCTTGAAAACAGTTTTATACTGGCAGTCAAAGGCAAGCAATATAAAGAGATTATTGGTATTATTTTCACACATCGGGTTACATTATCGAAATTTTCACACGGTCCTCTTTTTTCTCTTTTATTAAATATAGCCTATATTCATCATCGATAGTGTACAATTCCAAAGGCAAATGATTTTTCAATTCGGTCCGGTAGTTTCGAAGGATTCTATCGAATCTTTCCTCTTTATACTGCTGGTTAGTGTAGATAAGTTTGATATCGTCAATTCGCCTTGAGCATGCGTGGTAATTATTTTCAAATCTTTTAGAAGAGGCCTTCGCTCAAAGGTGGGCACTTATGCATGGTGATGATGATGATGATAATACAATGAAATAGTGATCTAAAGGGCGTGATGTTATGTTCCTATACATATAGTCCCTTTTTTTTAAGGGGGAAAATTATCGAATGACTGCTCCCGCCTGGGTGAGGCGGAAGGGAGTGTCAGACTCTTACTGACTAAAAACCACCCGCGAGAGGTCGCCATCGCCGGTCACTTCCCTGAGGGCACGGCGGTGCCCACGCAGGGCCCACGCAGGGCATTCCGCTACAGTGTGTTCCACCGTGTCCTCAGGGATACATATAGTCCCTATGTAACTCGAACCGCTGAACTTAGGGAATCATCGATAAATAAAATACAAAGATGCTTTTAACAAATTCTTAAAACAACGTTAAAATACAAAACGCTACATTTTTCCATACTGACTCCGAGCACATAATCAAAGGAACAGTTTCGGTTTAAACATGACAGGGGGCTCAATGTAATTTTTGTCTCTTCCTAACAACGTCTGCACCATGAGATTCTTCGGAGAGAAAGGATTCCTTTTATTAAATAATTTCTTCATCATCACATTTCTCATTTTGAGGTCATTATCAGCTAACTCTTTCTGGGCAAGTGCAGTGAAGTTTTTCATAGTATCAACTTCTGACTGATTTGCCATAGCTTTGGCTTGTAATTTCTTCCAGTTAAATAAAGGCTTTGTAACAGGCCCAAACTTGGTCTCGGCAACCTGTGTCTGCGTGGAACAAGTCTTTTGGTAGTTATCGTCATCTGATGATTGTGGCATCGGCTGTGGTTGTAGTTGTAGTTGTGGTAACTGCATCTTCTTCTTGATCTTCCGGAATATTGACATCTTTCTTTCACTTTGTGTAGCAATGCTTTTTACTTCTATTTCTTTTAAACAGAGCGGTACCTGTGGCTGTTGCATTGGTTTGTATGGATTGTCGTAAGTGCTGTGGTATGGAGGAGCGGTAGGTCGTTCCTTAGGATGTAGAGGGGGTGCGCTGGCTTGTTCTACCATTCCCGGGTACGGCATTCTGGGTCCATAGTAATCGTGAATTGCTTGTGGTGGCTGGTACTCGGGTAACCCAGGGTTATAGGGTGGATGATAATCCGGGTGATACTCATGAGGTCTCGGATAATACGACGTCATGGGGGGTGGTGGGCGATAATATTCTGGTTCCTGCATCATGTAGTTTGTTATCTCCTGTTGATAGGGTGCTCTTGGAGGCATTGGTTTAACTGGTACTTCAACTGCACTTTCACTTTCGCTGAGTTCTTCAATAACATCTTTCTTCTTCTTTTTAAACATACCAAAGGATCGCAGGACGTTAGAAAATTTCTTTTTTTTGTCCTGAAACATAAGTTAATGCGTTTTATACAAAGTATGGATTAGAAGTCTGCCTCTCTTAGAGAGAGAGGCAGACCGCAGAAAAGATGGGATGATGATATAAGACAAGTGGCAGGACTAATGTGGAACCGAGTGGCTCTAGAAAGAATAGAATGGAAAAGATTGGAGGAGGCCTTTGCCGACTGGCAAACAGATCTTGAAATGGTAACCAAGGAACAGATATTAGTTTAAGTAGTTTCAGTGCAAGAATAGTTATTTGTAGTTTTAGATGTAAATTTATTGTAAACATTTAAGATCTGAATAAAAGGCTAAATTATTATGGATTAGAAGTACTTATGAATAAAAAAATATAGCTTATACCTTTCCTTCAGTAGTAATGATATCCTCCATTTCGGAATCAATTGTAGATTGTGTCACTTCTAAACTGAATTTTTCTAATACAGTATCTGAATAAGTAGGGTTAGTTTCGCTATTGTATTCTTCGGAACCGTTTCTGGACCCGATTGCTTCACAACTCTTTGAATAACATTTGAGTGGCGCTGTTCCCACTTTAGCATCGTGTTTAGAGATTTTGGAACTTTCGCCGACGCTTCTTGACGTTAGTATTTTGGTTCCAACATGTCCAGCTTCGTTCCAATCAGTTTCTTTTTTCCTATTAGGGCTTTGTGCTACAAATTTATAGATTTCTTTAATAAGCTCCTCGGTTTCGGTGTGACAAGTTTCGGTGTGGCAAGTACCGGTTGTGGTTACATTCTTATTACAACAATGCTCGCTATGAACTGGCTCCTTTGACGCATTAACGCAGTTTGTACAGGTGTAGCTTTGACTGGGAATCATAAAGCCGCTCTGCATAGAAATAGGGCAGTTCATGGGGCACATCTGCATCATCGGATAGCAGCACGGATTCTGGAATGGTGTCATATACGGAGACTGATTGCAACCTACGCTGTAATTAATGCTGTGCCTACTGTTAGGCATCCTGCTGCCAGTAATCTTAGTACTATTTTCATTTATGTTATTATTTTCACAATTTTCATCTTTTGAGGAGATTTCGGATTTATCACATTGTGAGGGTGTAGTTTCTTTCTTTATTTCATGTAAAAAATTTTGTAATATATCTTTTATTTCACACAACGCTTTATCAGTTTTATCAACAGGCATTTCTATTTCGTCTGTTTTATTAAACGCTGTTTCAATTGTAGCATTAGCTTGGTCATTCGTATATGTTGGATATTGTAAACTGACTGCAGTAGCGTTGTCTCGTTGGCATAAATCGTCGTTCTCGACCTGACACGTCATATTTTTATGCGTCTTAAGTAATTGCCTTTTAGTTAACTGCGGATCAGCTACTGATGTTATGTCGCTTTCAACTTCAAGGCGCTCGCGTCGTCGTCTCTGCTTATGTGGTGAACCTTTCTTAGCAGCATGTTTCATGTGCGTCATATAGTCTTCAAATTCCGTGTTATACTGTGCTTTGAGATTAAGCTTTGGTCTTAGTGTCCTTGGTGATGGTGGTACTTCTCTGTAATATTCATAAGGTATCATAGTATCCTCCACAAATTTTCTCCGTGTCTTTGGACTACACTTTTCTTTGACAGGAATCAGATCATAGAGGTCGGAATTATCATAAACCTCCATGGGTACTCTGCGACGCTTACCTCGGGCTTGTTTCTTAGAACTGTATAGACGAGTATCGCAAATGCTTCTCATTTCGCTAAGGTCACTGTATTTTGTCTTGTGCTTAGTTACATCGTAACAGCATGAACATAATTCGGTACCCTCCTGTATATCTTCACGGATGGAGGGAAATTCCTGATCCCGACAAATAGGTGCTGAGATCTGACTCAGGTCCGATTGTCTTCTATCAAACATTTTCATAGGCTTATATTGTCTTCTAATTATATCAGCTATAAAATCTTGATCTAGTTCTCGATTCTGGTGTTTGTGTTTACGGGCCTTAAGAGGCCGCGGCTCATAATATTCTTTTTGTAATTCAATCTTATTTCTTTTCATAAGCTCTCTGTACTTCTTATCTTTATGGGTACGCGAAGGTGCGGGCTCTGCATATTCTGGTAAATAATTTCTGTCTTTATGAGGACCTGAGTAACCAGGGCTACTAGAACGGACCATCCGTGGCTCTGCAAGCGAACGAAAACTACTGGTAGAATTAGCAGAAGCTATATTATCGTATACTGATCTCGCTTTATATTTATGCAATTTTGCGCTGTGATCATTACTTCTATTCAGTTTATTTTTTTTATTTTTTACTTTAGTGATATGTCTTCCGTACTCGTCAAGCAAACCCTGTGTTTGTTTCGCGTCGATCGCATCTTGAATGTTGCAGATGTTTTCGCTCTCTTCAGATTTTATATAATTACCATCAGAAGACTTGTATAGAAATTTAGTTTCGGTGCCATTCAACTTTTTCTCGTAAGATGTCTCAGTCTGTTCCTCGATCGTATCTATCTCATTCTTTACGTCTGCTAAAATGTAGCTGTTTGAATTTCTCACGAACTTTCCCTCAGAGGGGTTGCAGCTGTCCAATTCTCTCAAGTGCTTCCCCTCTGACGGGTTGGAGCTCTCTGACTCCCTAACGTTCCTCGCTTCTGACCTAAGGCAGCTTTCGGACTCTTGCCTAGAGCAATCAAAGCACGTGATATCTTTACAATGTCGGTTTACCTCGTCCAACTGTTGTTCGAGGCCAACTATCTTACGTTTAAGATCAGTGACATTTAAAGCTATACTGGAACTTATTTTAAGATCCGGCTGCGACGAGCTACCTGCAAAATTACAAGTATTGAGATGCTTTGTATGTTATAATTGTGTTCTTTACAGTAATTATGATATAAGATAATAGTAAGTTTATAGTCACCTAGCGCTCTGCGGAAGAACTCCCTTATGGCCCGATATCTACGCTTGGTGCGTGGCGAGATGCGACGTCGTGGGGTGCGCAAGGTCATCACCAACCCTCGCACCGATGACGTCTGTTAACCAATAAAAGACTGGGATGACATTACTAACTCATCACAAGGTACAACCAATGGCATATGTATTTTTATGGATTTAAACAACATCTTTAAGATACGCATTAAATATTTTTTGTATTAAGATTAGTATTTAATGGCCTAAAGTTGACTTATTACCTTTTCTCCTATATGACAATTTACGATTGTCGTAAATGTGACTCTTTAAACAAAAATTCCATATTTGCCTGAAAAGGTATTCCAAAATCACAATAATTACGCTTATTATTAAATTTTATTAAATTATCATTAAATATACGTTTGACTTTTGAATTTCATCTGACTTTTGCGTCAATATATTTTTATTCATCGACAATACTTTTATGGCCAGTGTTTTAAACTCTGGCCATAGAAAGTAATCTAAGTTTTGTCCAAAGAGTACCTATATAAGTATAAGGGGTTTTTTCTTAGGCTGTGACATTATTACCTCGGGATATTGGTGCTGGCTGGATGTCTTCCTAGTCATATATTCATAAGAAAGTTGACCAATTTATTTAATTAGGCATATCGAATTGCAATATAAGAAGACACTTCTAGTGTGCGGTAAAGACATCGTAATTGACAATATTACTTGTTAAAGAAAGTCTGATCTCTTTGCTGACTTCGTTATTAAGAGATATAACTATTTTGATTATAGAATCTTTTTTAACATTGACATGTTACGTCACCAACTTTTTGTATACATCAGGAAAATAGATAATTGAAGTTAATGCTTCAATTCGCATTAAAATGCTTTCAAAATTCATACGATCTACATATAAATCTAATGTTGGACTGCTTCTGACGAGGAAGGTCATTCCAAAAATACTAAATGTGCGATACGCGGACATGATACCACCTACTCAGTACGACGTGCCATTCCCAAGCAGATTAAAATTCGGGTGTATTATAAGAGAGCGCTGGGAAATTATTCCTCTGTTCATAGCAACAGGCGTGGCCTTATCGTTCATGTTCTATTCCATTGTATACGCATGTCAAAACAAGGTGCGTTATTTACATTATTTCATTGTTAGATTTCAAATGTAGACCTTTAGTGAAGCAAGTGTAATACTGTGAATGAAACGCGAAGAAATGTTATAACAGAGTGCAACACCGGGACCTACAAGCATAAAACTATCTAGTATTTATCCAATTTATGATTTTTTTAAATTAGGTACCTGTAGTATGGACATAGTCATTACTTTTTGAAATTGGTAATGTAAAATGAGTATCGTTGTGAATAAGTTGTAAACAAATACATAATTAGTTTTAAATATCAACTTGTTATAGGTGGACGTTGTGTTTACGTCACGCAGTCGAGAGAATATATCGCGCACGATGGACCTGAGGTGCCCCACAATTCACAAGCTAATCATTATTAATCAGAAATACCCACCATGGCCCGAGATGCAGTCAGTGCTTGACAAGATGAGGATGGCAGAGAAACGGGCATTAATGCGTTTACAGACATGCGCTCATCCATAGACCTGGCTCAAGTATGCATAGCTCTAGTAACTAAGGCCATGAACGCTCACTCCGACAAGCTGCGACCGCTAGCGACGATCAGATAGGCACGCGCTAGCGTTGTTGTGCTGAAGCAGTCTAACTACCATTCGCTGAGGACTTAATAAGATAAATTTCGAGAGTTGGTTGTCTGCAATAGTGTGCGCTACAGTTGATGCTTCGATCAATTTCACGCTTTCAACTAAAAAGCCGGAAACTGAAAGAATACAACTAAAATAAATTTAAGAAACCTGATGAAACACAGTTCGTGTCGTTAAATGTTTACATTGTAAAACCGTTTTTGAAACTATTTTTGTTTTGGTAAAAATATATGTTTTGATGACATTCTTTTGGTTTTCATTGAACAATAACTATTTAGTGAGTGTTTATACTGAACATTTTTGGCTTTTCATAAGATTGAATGTGTTACAGAATTGCGAAATATAAACCCAAATTCAATTCGTCCATAGTGCACTTTTGTGAGACTTTACGAACACATTTTGCATGTGCACATAGTATTAGCATATTATTGATAGTATCTCCAAAATGACACTTTAAAAAATAATACGCAGTTTTATTCGTGTTGTATCAACACTAGATTAATTCTAGTGAGCTGCAGCTACCGTTATATACAGGCACTACCTTTGTATAATTGAATTTGATCAGTTGGTTTGTAATAGATATTGTTATATTGCTGACTACAAAATAATAAGTAAGGTATCCCTGTGTATTCAGTGATCAAAATCTATAAATACGGTCTGCTTTCGTCTCTAGTTGTATTATTCTCGTGTACTATACTTTTATTTCATTTACGTATTTTGTAAGACTATCTAGGTGGTCGATCGTCGAGTTTCATTTCGCTGTCCCAAGTTTCATTTCAGGGTTTGGCTAGTCAATATTGGATTTTCAATTTTCTGATATTTACTGTTTTGGTATTCATTAACTGGTGTAAGGTAACTGAAGAAAAGGTATTTGTTACATTGTGAGAAAAATAAAACAACAAACTTTTTCGTTTCCAATATTTTTATTTTTAAATTAGTGGCAGTGAAGTTTTTGGGTAATTATTGAGTGTTTAACAGAAGCCAGTATCTGTCTCACGTTCGTCGAGTGAATACAAAAATAAATGTTCTCGGGTTACACATGTATGGGTACGAGTGATCGATGCCATTACGTGGTTCGATTCTGGAGTGAGGAACTTTATTTTGAAGTGTATTTTGCTTTAGTGTATAACAATGCGTGTGATAAGTATTACAGTATTATAAGTCTTGTGTGTGCTGCTTGATTGTCCAAAACCTTGACTATTGCTTACAGATTAATATATTTTTAAGAAATCTATTTCGATTATTGTGTTGGCCACACACTTCAAAATGCAGTTCCGACTATGTTTACATGGGTTTTTACGTGCCATAATCTAACTTAACTAATATTACATTAACTCATAAGTTGGCACATTGTTACAACAATTCTTATGGCTCCGGGACTAGGCCTTAGAAGCCGGTCGCCGAAGCTTGCTACTTTATGTATTCGACATTTTATAAAAACTCTACCGCGTACTCCCGACGTCACAGTGTCTAATGCAGCGTCATAATGTATAAGTTACGTTAACATATTCACTAGTCTTAAGTCGAGTCAAAGCTGTTGACGTTGGATTCGACAAGCTGACGTCGAAGTCACAGAGTTGGACAATGGTTCGTAAAATAAGAACGATTTGGCACGTAAGTTTAGAAGGATTCCCCTAAGTGCTATGTAGTGTATGAACAACTAACATTGAATAGTTTACGTATTTGTGTTTGCACGATACACTGCTCACTGCGAGTTAAGCTGTTTACTGAGTTGTAACAGATGCTCGTAGAACCCAGAAGACGGACCAAAGCGTTCACTGCTGTACATCAATTCCACATTTGGATTTCACAGGTTCAATATGCGAGGAGTAATATTTAAAGATTTGACATTAAATAGTATAATTTTGCAACACCATTACCTATGGCGTCCACTACAATGATCCTAAAAGATCAGTTTTACAATTCTTAATGTCCGTATTTATTGGATTACAAGGAAATGCTACAAATCAATATCCATCTTAAAATCTGACTTAAAAAACAATGACGTAACTATTTATTTGCCTATAAAAAACGAGGTTCGAAAACGAAAGTGTTTTTCGAAAATTCTGTTATCGTTTATATATCATTAGTTATCTAATCATTATTTAGGTATATTTCGAAAGAAATACAATTTGGGAAGGTTTCCGAGGACGAGAGGGCGTTCGTTCGCTTCACAGTAAATGTTAGCTCCCACAGCACAATATAGCAACATTCACACTTCCTTGCGTCGAAGGATATTTCATTAATTTGTTCTACAATATGTTATAGTTATTTGCTAAGTTCGCCCTGCTCGGTCCCCAGCCACAATGTTGTTACATGCAGTCCAACAGTAGAGATGATACACTTAATATTATTTCAGTCATGGAACTATTACCCACACCACGAGGCAACCAGTGCTCTACTGGCATGGAACTCTATAATTCAATTACTATCGAGTATCTGTCGGCCGTACACACTCCATCAATCCGGCGCCACTATTGTACATGATACTGTGATGCATAATGATGCAAAGTTAACGAAATACCATTTATATTGCAAATGTTTTAGTATATAATGTTATATTCGTATAAAGTTAGCAACACAAACTGATAGTAATTAAATTATTATGATTTATATGCCACTGTTGAATGGACAATGCAACAATACCATTGTACACAACAACTGAAGACTTAAGCAATGCAACTGTTGCTCAAACGTCGCCTGTCTCGTGTGAACCTTGCTTTCAATACATTACAACGAAATGTCTGCCTGTCTGTCAGTGTCGACACAGCTTGCATTGCTTACTCTCCACCTCCCCAATTACAACCGCGGGTCATACGCGTCACAAACCAATTTTTACAATTTATCATTACTCCTATACACATAAAAATATTAAAACGAAACGTTTTAACTAGATATAATATCATGTGCGTAACGGATCGTAACTCCATAGACTCACCATTAGCTGTACAAACAAATGTAGAAGTGAACGTAAAGTAGCACGCACACATGCGCATGTACATACATAGTATTGCGGTGCTTTAGGTAGACCACACTGGACCACACGCTGGGTGACGTCACTGTGACATTGTGAACACTTGCTTGACTTGACTGAGGTTTGTGAGTTATGTTATACTTTTTCAAAGATTTTCAATCCATCTCATACGACAATTTACGTCCCAGCGCGTTGTCTATCTTAAAACAATTTATTAATCAACAGTCATCTTCAGACAGACACAACTTAAGAAAAATCGCAATACATTGAAGACCTAACTCTCAGTATTACCATATAAAACTTCAAGAGACGTCATGCGAGCATCCTCAACGTCACAGTGTCAGGTGTGCGTGACGTCACAATGTATGACATTAGACATGCACGCTCGCAGCGGTCCCCGTGACGTGGAGGACGCGCACAACGTTGCAGAATGTAACTCGCGTCGCGCAGTGCGCACAGAGCGCTACTGCACCAGAAACAGACACGACGACATTGGAGTCATTTCCACTTCAAACCCGGCCACTTATTTTATGAAAACTTTTTAACGAAACTTACAGCTTCCCCTAAACTTTAATAGCGATAGTAAATTGAAAATTAAGTAACTTTAGGACAAGTCACAATATCAAACTTTAAAATCAAATTCTATCCAATAATGTATCAAAACATCAAATTTTATATTTTCGGTTCACGAAAATAGGTTCATAATATATATTATCGAATATATAAATATATTGATCGTTGACAAATAGTTAATTTAGGAATGAATCTCAAACGGGATCTTTAAAGACCGTTCTGAAGTACGATGACAAATAATATACAAGTAGTATGTCGGACAGTGGGCCCACGAGCGATTTGGGACACGATGACAGTTCTATTAGCTAAATCAACGTTGGCATTTATGTAAATGCAGTTAGTAATCACAGTTTGTTCATTTATATTCCACGCGACTGAGATTCGTTTCGGAGACGTTCCAAAAAGCTCGCGCATCCGCGATCCCGCCAACATGTAACATAGGACACGCGAAACAAACACGACACGGTACCTCATCACGAACAAGTGTATCCACGTACTCCTTCAATAATATCCAATAATAATCGTTAATATTACACCTTAAATAACTATACAATATGAAAGCCTCCCGGCTGTAAAACTTATGAAACCACATTGTTTTGTTTATATTATACATTAATGCGTGACCACCACGACCTCCGTACTATACAAAAATTAAAAACATTATACAGTAATACTACGATACCATATAGCTAATAAATACAAGAATCAACTTACCGACTACCAATACCCATGTAGCAAGATGACTGACGCATGACGGTAGGTATATTCGTATTTTAGATACAACCATTTTATTTTTAACATTCAATTTTATTAATTATAATAATTTTATATAAATCTATTCATGTAATGAATTCTCTCTGAAACATCGTCATTCTCTTTGGTACTATCGCTCTGAGGCGAGCCGCCGACGCACGCGCCCGATGTCGTGGCCTGCGCGGCCGGCGTGTCGTCACCTGCAACCTAGTAGTCCCCAGTGTGTCAGCAAGCGATAGTGTCTGCCACGACTCCTCGGTACGATACATACGTTAACTGAATACATGAGCAAGTTAGTTCCCTCCGTGCTTGACTGAAGTGCAGCGGTCTCGGCCCGCTCCTTCATACGCTACAACTCTATCATTTTATTGTTATTGAGTCTCACACTCTGGTGTTTTTATTTAGACTTCGTCGACTACGGGATGCATCGATGATGATAATGAGTTTATACAGAAACTTATTCCCCAAGATTAGGCCAACTTTGAATGAACTATGTGTAGCCACACGGACATCGCGACCGATATGAACAATGCCTCGGTGCAGAGTCGCGCGGCGGACGAAACAAACGCGGTACGAACGGGGAGCGGTGGCGACGGGCGCGCACCTTCAATTTATTATTACCTAAAACATTGACAATAACCTCGATGATAGACATTTGTGCTGATGTTGTGTTCCGGTGACGCATATATAATACACAGTACGCTATGCGAGCGAGGCGGCGGCCCTCGACACACGACCGGCTTACACTTAAGTAATCACCTTAGTAATCGATAGGAAGTCAGTTTTACTTACAATAATTTCGCTATTTATTAACTAGGGTACGACCCCGCGCTGCCAATTGACGCGACCGGTCATGGCGCTTGGCGGGGCCGCGACAAATTTCATATATAAGTCTCTAAATATTCACTTCGGCGGGAGATCCGTCGTGAGCGC